GTTTTGTTCAACAAATAGGAACTAAAATTCAGAGCACACAATCAGTAGGCAGTAAATATTCAGAACAGCAGGACACACCTGGATGAAATAAAGCCTACCAATAAATACTCTGCCTTTATATGGACACATCTGGAAAATGTACCTCATCTGTGGTACCACAGGTTCAAATATCCTCTTCCAGCACCTGCAGCTCATCTACTAGCATCTTTTTTAGAGAACTTGCATACGTAAAAAGGTAGAGCATCCACCTGGATTTATTTCTGTTCTTAGGCGACATATACGTGCATCAAACATCAGACTGAGTCAGCCAGAACACCAGCAGTGCTGAATGTGTTCCTCAGAGCTTCATACGCCGCTGAAAATGCATGCTGTGTCAGTCCTAACATATGTGAATATCTGATGCGTCAGGTCAAAAAGTCTGCTTGCTCAGAAAGTACCCTGACTGAAGGGAGAGCACTGATAGAAGCTGCTTGAATCACATAAAACACAAGGAGGAAAAACAAAACGTTCATGCTTTCTTAATAGTGTTTTTTATTTGCACAATAGGTGCAAGGATTTATATTTGTTCACACATGGTTTGTGAGGTCAGTCAGTGGTTATACTGGTTACTGTGGCTGTCTTCTCACATTATAGAAGGCACAGGAAAGGGTTTATTGAGTTTACTTGCTGCGAGTATTCATCTGATTGACGCCAATACAGATATCTGATTACGGCTGGCACAATATTATAAACACTGTTCACTGTTTACTTGTATAAAATGTGACTGACACTGTAGATAACATCAACAATCTTCTTTTGTACTCCTTTTACTGTGTTAAGTCTTACAATTATTCCTCTCCTCATTAACTGAATATCCTTGTGATATAGAAATTATTATTTTAATGCTTTTATGTCAATCTAGACCTATATTACACTTATTTAAACACACTTATACAACGTGTTATTCACATATTAGGGATTGTATTTTGTATTATGTTTTATGAGGTGTTGGGTCGCCTTTATGCCTGTTCAAACATATACTTTGTGTGTGTGTGTTGCTTATAATATTTAGACACTCTTTGATGGTTTGCAGAAGGGACGGAGGGGTGCTCTTTAGGAATGCTTTAATAAGCATTAGGAGTGCTCTTGACCTGGAAGCTTTGGCCCGCTTTTACGGTCACAGGCGCTCCTTACTGGAAGGATGAGCCATCACTTTGATGATGGTTTAATTAGATCTGTTGTTCTGGTAACCATCAAACTTGTTTTGAATGCTCTCACGCGATCCGGTCAGGGAAGGTATAAAGGAAGTGTGACAGGCAACTTAATCTTGGGAAGTCCTGTGATGGATCAGACGCGCGCTGGTGCCACACGCCATTTTGATGTGATTCTCCTTTACCTGGGTCGAAAACGACTTCCCGGGCAGTGTCACGGTGAGAAGTTATTTCATATCAATCTGTGTGTTAAGAGTGTACATGTTTGTTTTTTGCTTGGCTGTTTTCTGTGGCAGGATAATAAAGGACACTAATTTATCCTAGCAGTAACAGCTTCAGTCTTTCATTTTTTCCATTTGTCTGAATATGTGCCGACCGTTTCACGAGCCCTTTTGATAAAGAATTTCATAATACACCTTGGCACCAAATGTCTGATACTGCTGGTCTTTAACCATAATAAAGCATACAGCTCAGGTACAGCATGTTCGGTTCGGTCCACGTGTGTACCGTTTCGGTTATTTTTTTCAATCATTAAATTTTATTTGTGAGAGAGATTATGCGCTGCGGAACTGAAGTTCCTAAGCGTGTTTCAGCACGGCGCTATTAATTGTTGCAGAGAGTCTTGCAGCACGAGCAGCCTAGCAGTCTATGTTTAGCCTAGTTGTGGTCTCCTGTTTGGGAACATTATGGCTTTCTTGTTAAAACTCAACGATGAGGAAAGACGTGAACAAATCCAAAGCTGTGTGTCGACGTTGTTTCACCGAGATTGGATCAGCAGCAGGCAACACGTCTAACTTGTTTATACACTTGAAACAACATTATCCGAATGTGAACGTCTCGTCTAACAGCTTGGTGCAAAGACCGATAACAGCAGCATTTAAACAACCTTTATCAGGTAATTCAGATCGGTCCAAAGCAAGAACACAAGTTGTAGGAGTTTTCATATATGGCTCTACGTCCGAATTCTGTTGCTGATGCGCCGGCTTGAAGCATATATGATTAAAGTTCTTGAGCCTCGCTACGACATCCCATCATGTCAACAACAAAAAAAGGTTAAATCTTGTCGTCTGGACCAGTTCAGTTGTACCAGCACTTTATGAAAAAGCTAAAACTGCTCGTCAAGGCAGAAGAGCCAAAATTGCAAGGTGTGCGTGTTCATATTCTCAACAATAAATTTATGAAACTATTACTTTATACAACATTATAAACCCTTAAGTCAGTTGGGTTTGTTGAAGGGTCACAGTTAGGATAAAGAAGCATTTTATTTTATTTTTTATTTGAGTTAGGTGCTTATAGACTGATCGGTTTATTTACTAGAGGTATGTGATTTATTTAAAGCATTTCAGTTTGAGGCCAAATACCCAGAGAAAAGACTTTTAAAGTCCGTCAATTGTTGTTCTTTTTAGAGTCTAGGATTTTCTGAGGTGGTGCTTGTTATGAAAAGTTTGAGAAACACTTTATTAAAGTTTATATAATAAATAATTATCTGTTGTCCTGAATTTAGGCCTTTTCATTAATGGCCAATGTGCAGACTTAGTTAAGTTAAACTTAGTTAAGCTCTTAGGAAAGTCAAATCTCCAAAACTCCTAATGCAAACCCTAAAACAAATAAACCCAACAAAAGTTATCTATTCCACAAATGTATGAAGCTGCATTACTTCGGCTGAGGTCACTGGATGAAGAGCATCTCAGTGTGACCTCAGCAGCAGTAAGGAGTACTTTCAGGAGGATTAATCCGCACAAGGCAACCGGCCCAGACAACATCCCTGGAAAAGTGTTGAAGGAATGTGCCGATCAGCTCTGTGAGGCGCTGGCAGACATCTTTAACGCCTCACTTACCCTGGAGACAGTTCCCACCTGCCTGAAGACTGCCACCATCATCCCAGTCCCAAAAAGCTCTACAGTGACTGGTCTGAATGACCATCAGCCAGTGGCCCTCACCCCGATAGTCGCTAAATGCTTTGAAAAACTGGTCATGACCCACATCAAAACAACCATCAACATCAACGAGGACCCTCATCAGTACGCATACCGTGAGAACCGATCAACAGAGGATGCCATCTCCTCTGTGGTCCACACTGCGCTCAACCACCTGGAGCAAAAAAACTCTTACGTCCGTATGCTCTTTGTGGACTTCACATCCGCCTTCAACACCATGATCCCCCAAACCCTGATGGACAAACTATCCACACTAGGACTAAGCCCCTCCATTTTTAACAGGGTACTAGACTTCTTAACAAACAGACCACAGTTAGTGAGGATCCACAACTTATCCTCTTCCACAATAACCCTCAGCACTGGCTCTCCTCAGGGATGTGTGTTGAGCCCCCTTCTGTTTACTCGGCTCACATAGGATTGTGCAGCTACCCATCCAGGCTGTCACATTGTAAAGTTTGCAGATGATACAGCGGTGGTGGGATGCATCACAAACAATGATGAGTCCAGTTACAGGCAGGAGGTGGAACACCTGGAGAGCTGGTGCAAAGAGAATAACCTTCACATCAATGTGAAGAAGACAAAGGAGATGATTGTGGACTTCAGAAGGAACAAAAACATCTACAACCCCCTGAACATAAGAGGATCTGTGGTGGAAGTGGTCTCCAGCTACAAGTACTTGGGTGTGCACATGAATGACAACCTCAGCTGGAGCAACAACACCACCAGCCTGATCAAGAAAGCTCATCAGAGACTCTTCTTCCTCAGGCGGCTGAGACGAGCTGGTCTGGGAAGCTCAGTCCTCACCTCCTTCTACAGGTGTGTAGTGGAGAGCATCGTGTGCTCCAGCATCAACGTGTGACATGGAGGCTGCACAGCTGCAGAAAGAAAAGCTTTGCAGAAAGTGGTGAAGGCTGCACAGAAGTCTGTAGGGAGTCAGTCTCCCCACCATCACAGACATCTACACCTCTAGATGCAGGAAGAGGGCCACCTGCATCATGAAGGACCCCACTCACCCAGCACACACACTTTTTGCCCCACTCTCCTCAGGAAGGAGGTTGAGGAGCATTAAGTGTAGAACCACTAGACTGAGGAACAGCTTCTACCCTGAGGCTGTTAGACTCATGAATCTCTAACCAGAATAATCACTGTGAAAAAAAAAATCACATCATGTTGCTGCTGATCTGTTTCATGTTGCTGCTGATCCATTTCATGTTGCTGCTGATCTGTTTCATGTTGCTGCTGATCCATTTCATGTTGCTGCTGATCTGTTTCAATGTTGCTGTGTTCATGCATGCTCATCAGCTCACACAGACTCATGTTCATGTTTGTGCTGATGTTCGACGTAATGTTTTTATGTTATGAGTGCTTATTGTATATTTAGTTGATGTTTTTCTTAGTTCATATCTTAGATGTTATTACTGTTTTTCTTTTACATTTTATTGTTGGATGTAACTGGGACCCTGTGTACATAATTTTGCTCCACCACATGAGGTGCGAATGACAATAAAGAAACTCTGACACTCTGACAAAGTGAACAAGTGGAAAGTTGTGATTTTTTTAATGAATTGGACCCAAATTGTGCAAATAATGGGTATGTTACCTGCATTCTTCTCAAGTGTCAGAGATGTGTTGGTGATGTTGAATGAGGTTGATCCAATTATTTTTATTAAAGTAAAAAATAAATCTTCATGGACCTTAATTTGTGCAAAAAGTAAAAAATAATAATAATAAATTAAAAAAAGCTTAACGCAACATTTCCTCCATCTGCATAACCTGAATACGGTAATTAAAGTAAAAATAAATAAATAAATAAATAAAGTGGACCAGAGGACACAAGCTGAAGCACACACACACTCCGAGCTCGCGCACTTACACGGATCGTCCATGGAGGCTGGTGTGCACGTGATGCTGGAAGTCTGGATATTTGGAGGCCAGGTAGGCGAAGTCCGGAGGTTTGTCCTTGTACCGGTTCCGAGGATGCATGGACTTGTTGAGAGACATGGGGACGGGCCTGACGTCACAACAACAAACAAAAACACACGACGCATCAATCAAACTGATTGATTTGGAAGCAGATCGTCTCTGAAGAAAACACTAAAAACATCATGTTCACCCGCAGGAAACTCAAAAACTTTCTGCTAAACAACAACACGGGTCACTTATATCTGACAGGTAAACAAAAACTTTAAAATTGAAAACATTTCAGACTGCAGTAAATAACAGTAGCTACAACTGTGTGAAGCTAACTACACGGTACACAACTACCAGGAGTGTTTTTATACCTGTTTATTTGTACAAAAGTTTTCTATCCCGGTTGAAAATGTTCCTTGACAGGCGCTGAATATTTCTGCAATAAAAGCAGCGAAAAGAAAATCCCACGACAGAACCTGTCGTCGTTCAAACGTTCTTTTAATTTTTGTAACTCTTCCTGTACGTCATCACGTAACCACGCGACGCCGCTGCGTGATGACGTCATCACGACGCCTCACCTTTTTTTTTTTTTTTGTTCATTTTTTTCATTCATTCAACCTTTATTTATACAGGCTATACCAAAGTTAAAAGTTTAAATATGTATATATATTTAGTAGAAAAAGTACAAGCTATTTAAATAATAATAATATGGTATGTGAAAAGTTTATAATATATAATAATAATAATAATAATACTTTATTTATAAAGCCCTTTAAAAAAACCACAGCTGCCACAAAGTGATGTACATATAAAATCAAGAACATTTAAACACATAAAAACAGTTGTTAAAACATTAAGATCACTAAAAGTAATAAAAACAGTGCAGAGTAAATTCAGTGTGTGCTAAAAGCCAGGGAGTAAAAATGTGTTTTTAAAAGAGTTTTAAAACTGGACAGTGAAGGAGCTTGTCTGATGGGAAGAGGGAGATCGTTCCACAGTCTTGGAGCAGCAACAGAAAAAGCTCTGTCCCCTCTGAGCCTCCGCTTAGACCTCGGCACCTCCAGGAGCAGCTGATCAGCTGATCTGAGGCACCGAGCAGGAGAGTATGGGTGAAGCAGCTCAGAGAGGTAGGATGGAGCAAGACCATTTAAACTTTTAAAAACAAATAAAATAATCTTAAAATGAACTCTAAAATGAACAGGCAGCCAGTGGAGTGAAGCCAGAGTGGGGGTGATGTGATCCCTTTTTTGAACTCCAGTTAGAAGCCGAGCAGCAGCGTTCTGGACCAACTGGAGGCGTCTGAGGGAGGACTGGCTGACTCCAAGGTAAAGAGCATTGCATTAATCCAGCCGAGAGGTGACGAAGGCATGGATTACCGTTTCCAGCTGCTGTTTTGTAAGGATGGTCTTTAACTTAGCCAGCTGTCTGAGGTGATAAAAACTGGTCTTGACCACCGCTCCAATCTGGGACTCTAATTTAAAATCACTGTCCATTTTAAAACCCAAGTTAGAAATAGTTTTCTTTACATGTGGTGCCAGAGGGCCCAGATCAACAGGGCAAGGTTCACAAGAGCCACTAGGACCAAACACCATCACTTCTGTTTTCTTTTCATTGAAATTTAAGAAGTTTAAAGACATCCAGGCTTTGATGTCTTCAAGACACAACAGAAGTGGCCTAATTGAGGGGGCATCTTTCTTTTTAAGTGGCATATAGATCTGACTGTCGTCAGCGTAACAATGAAAAAAGATCCCATGCTTTCTAAAGATTGATCCCAATGCAAGCAGGTAAAGGGAGAAAAGCAGGGGACCTAAAATAGAGCCCTGTGGAACCCCAAAACACAGAGGAGCAGTGGAGGATTCAGACCCAGCTATGTTGACAGACATGGTTCTGTCTGCCAGATAGGACCTAAACCAGCTCAGTGCAGTATATATATATATATATATATATATATATTAGTAGAAAAAGTACAAAGTGTAACTTTTAAAATGTTACATAAATGTGCTTGCATTTGTTAATTAAATAGAAGAAAAAAACACATTCTATATAATTTTAAAAAGCAACCTTTTTCAAAAGTGATACATGTTGAAGTACATGTATGTTTTAGTAGTAATTGTTAGCAACAAACATCTTCATTAAAACAACTAAAATAAGAAAATTAAATCATGTCAACACAATTTCTACCTTATTATTTATTCATTTTCTTCTTTTGGCTGCTTCCTTCGTCAGGGTGAACTAAGTCACACAAACTAATTCCTAAATTATTGTCTAACTGAAATTAAAGTTTGTGGGAAACATTACAGAAAGCAAAAAATGTCACAACAAACCAGCTTTTGTAATGTCCAAACTGTACCATGCAGTCTGATCTTTAGTGTTTAACCACTTAAACAAACACAATCTATTACAACACAAAAAGGTTTTATACCTTTGATTACAAGAAATCAGCCTTCACTATGCAGGCTGGAATAAATAAGGAACTTTTCCAACATAATCCTGATGAATGCTCAATAATCCAGGTAGAAGACTGAAGACAGCAGACTCACTGAAGAAGTCTTTCGGATGAAAGACGAAATGTTTCTACAATTTTTTTTTTATTTAATTTTTGAACGGTTTTTTTTAGATTTTCCAACATAGTAAATAAATCCCAGCTTTCATGAGATTTCCACTTTCTGAGCATGAATGTGTTAAATGAGATTCTGATTTAACCTCTTTCATGTGTTATTACTGAATTCTACATGGAGGTTCGGTTCATGACGTCTCGTTACTTGATTTCTTTCCTTTTGTCTTTGCTCATACACTGCTGGCATAAACCCTTACTGCAACACATGACAGAGCCCCCCATTTGTTTCCCTGAAAGACTACAGGGAGACTAGAACCACAAAAAGCAACCATGTTGCTCCCTCCTCCATGCTTCTCTGTAGGGGTGAGGTTTTGATATTAGTGTGTACTTTTACTTGCTTCCTCCAAAAACATGTTCAGCCTTTGACTCGTACAGGATTGTCCCAAGAACGTTGTGAAACTTAAGTTGTTTTTTTTTTGTGGTGTTTCTCTTGTAATTAAAAGCAGGTTAGATACTCTTGGATTCTTTTTAAACTCTCATTTGATCTCACAACATTCTCTTAGTGCACGGTGCCCACACTCTTTCAGCATGCGAGCTACTTTTTTTTTAATTTAAAGACAGAGTCAAAGTGATAAGGCCCCGTTTACACAAGAACAACCTATGGAAATGTTAAGTGTTTTTTCAACGTTTATTAACAAAAAATTAGTGGGTTTACATGAAAAACGTAGTTTCCATATCAGTCCGGTTGCCAGATAAGTAATTATGAACCATAGTACTCACTTTAAAATGATAGTATTTTTGACTGAAACTGTCATATGTGCTGAGTAACGATATTCCAAGAAGAGGTGCGTTTGTTTAACATGTGCACAGAAAAGGAGGTAAATAAGACATTTTAAATTTATCTGGCAACCCTCATTGCACATGCAACATCTGCATGAGTGTAATGAATCATTTTTAAATTAAAGCAAATTAACAGGCATATATTGTTAAGCATTTTTTATAGCTGTAAGTTTCTTTATAAGCCCACATTATCAAACGTCATAATTACGATGAAATGCTGATTTTGTGCTTGAATTTGAAACTACAGATCTACGCAGTAATCCTCCAACCTTTCCGCTGTATTCCAACTTTTAACAGTGGATGATCTCACAGTGCGTGACTTCACATTATTTGGTTGAAACACCTTTTGTTTTCCTCAAACACATCATGACCAAGGTCTCTAAACAAAATGAGCAGAACACGCAAATGCAAGATTTTCTTCTTTTATTATATCGCAAACAATAATGACATCCAGGTATATTGTTAACAGTTTGCTGAGTGAAGAGTGAGACCGTAAAGTGGCAAAACATCATGAGCTCTCCTGTTGTGCAGTCTGAAGCCCTCGGATGTTCACAGGCAGCTAACAGGGTGTGGGGGACAGAGACCAGCGAGAAACGACCCACAGAAGTTCAACACCTGCCCGTCGGTCCCTTCACGCACCGGACCGCAGCAGAACAGGGATCGATTGCTCCGGACCTGCAAAGGTCTGGGTTTTCATCTGCTCGTTGCATTCAAACAGAAGTTTTTATTTTTTTTTCTTGTTTCCACTGATTATTACAAAACACACGTCAGCCTGACCCCCTTCTTTGATTTAAAGCAAGAAAGGGAAAGTGTTATTAATTTATACGTCGTGGTCTGGCGTGATCCGGGCGTGGACACTGTGTTGTTTTTTTTTTAAAGACCGACCGTATTGTACGAGAAGTCTCCATTTTTGGCTTCATTTAGAACACGTAACACGCTGGCATCTCCGTTAGCCAAATTTAACTCTCTTCACCGGAAAGTCTTCAGGTCAGACATACTGGAGAGACAAAAAAATGTTTAAACCTTTGAAAAGGGAAACGCACGTCAACTAGAAATGAGTAAAAGTCCCTGAAAGAGAGGATTTCTTCTTTAGTCTGCCACAGTCTCATTGCATTTAGACGCGAGGCTGTAAGACCTCCCTCAAATTGCATCAAACACAACAAACCAACCCGTCTACAAACCAAACAGAGCTGTCTGAACGCGACCGTTTCAAACAAAGTGTTGCCTGTACGGTTAATACAAAATCAAAGCTGACCTCAGCTCCTGGCGAAAAGGTAAAGTAGCGCTCTCCTGAAACACAGCGAGCGCAGTCGCTTTAATCAAACCGATCAGCCGGAGGGTTTAGGAGAATCTGTTCCGACAGCTCTGCCTCTGGAGGTTTACGTGCAGCGCCACTAGTGAAGAGCTCGCGCAGCAGATCACCACACCCGGCACACGGACGAAGAGGACAACTCGCCAAAAAGAAGCGGACAAGAAGCAGTCCTTACCGAAATGAAATCAGAAACGAGAGGTTTACGCTCGTCACTTAACGACCGAAGCGTCCGCGGGAACAGGGATGTGCAAGATTAACGAATCGCCGTGTCGGAGACGGCGAAGAGGCAGCACGTTTCTGCAGCGTGGCCTGGTTCTGATTCAGACTGGAGGTTTGAGAAAAGCCTCTCCGAAGACGCTTGTAAAGGTGGAGGTTTTCTCACGCGGATGAACCGGATCAGCTGGCGTGTCTGCAGCTGGATGGTTCCCAACAGAAACTCAACAACCTCCTCCATTAGCGCCGTTACACAAAACTGACCAGCATCGACAGGATAAGTTTGCATTTCTTATTTTATTTCCTCTCGTTCGTCCATTTTCTTTATCGGCTTTTTTCTTGCCGGGTCACTGTGCGAGAGGAGGGGGACACAGAGACAGCCTCTCACTCACCCAAGGACAATCTGAAATGACCAATTAACCCAACACACATGCTTTTGTGGCAGGAAAAAAAAAACGTTTTCACGGGAAGAATACGCAAACTCCGCCCAGAAAGGTCGATGTGCGGCAACAGCTCCAACGAGAAAATTATAATTTTTTCTCTCAAAATCATTTTATTCTGCAAAACATACTCAGAAATGAAAGATCTGTGCACATCCCAAATATTAAATCCTAGAGGGAGGGGGGCTCGCTCCGACTGTCTCTCTTAGACAAAGTATTTTTAGACAAGTTTCGTGTTTATATTTCTTAGCGGACACAAATTAGCATCAATATTCACGCATTTTCTGCACTGCGACAAAAGATTCGATTAGACGTCCCGGTAAATGAACCGCTGACAGCTAAAAGCTTCGCATGAACACTTGTTTTTAAGACCAGTCATCTAAAGCTCAGACGAGTACAAAGCTGTCCGAGCCCCCCAGGTCCAAGGACGACAGTATGAAACATTTGTATATACAGCCATTGAAATATAACCTAGTTGCACATGAAGAGAAACGGTATGCACACCCGAGAAGTGAGGTTATAAAGCTACAGATTACGTCGATAACGAAGCCCCGCGGACGTCTCCTATACGCTTTCCTGCCTCCATCTGTGAAGCGAGGCACCACCAGACTACGACAGTGAAGGAGAGGGAAACAAAATCCTAAATAAAAAATATAAACAAAAATAAATTTTACACATAAAGACACTGTCATTTCTTAAATTATCAGTTTTTTAGTGCCCTATGTTTCACACCCAGTCGAAAACATCTGCCTTCAGTTGGTCAGTAAGGCTGTGTGACAGACGCTCAGCCCAGTGTTAAACCTATGGTACTTCTAGACAAAAATCATGTAAATGTACAGTATACAATTTTGGATTACCATGCAAGAATACTTTGCGTGTGTGTGTGTGTGTGTGTGTGTATGTGTGTGTAACATTTATAAGCTCAATCTACATCCAGGAATAATTTACACAGAAGGACAAAAAGTTGTTGGACCAGAGAGCGCTGAGGGTAAATTATGGTGGCGAGTGCAGCTGTAGGAGACGAAGATGAGCGGCGTGAGTTTTAGGTTAGGTGGTGGGGGCAGAGGAGGGGGGCGGATGAAAGGAGAGGTGGGGTGGCAAGAGGGAGGGATCCAGAAGAGCGTCTGGGTAAAATCAGGGTGGTCCAATCGTCGGAGGTCCAAATCAGCGACACTCCCATACTTTTACTGTTTGATCTACGCTCCCGGTGACCACGAAGGGAGCAGCCTTGTGGAAATCTGAAAGAAGAAACCAAAGATCTTTAGAGGAAAAGAAGAGCAAACTGTTAATGCAGCAGAAATGTTCTTAACAGAGTGAATGTTTATGAAGCATTCACACTATTCTGATCCATTTTTCTTCCGTATGTTTTTCAATGTGATTCTTGTCCCACAGTTTTTAAGCAATTTCAACAAATCATATTAAAACATTAATCTCTTTCAGGACATGACTGCTATGACTATGCTATGTATTGGTGCAACTTTAGCTTTTTGAAATATTTAGCCTTTTCTGCCCCCCCCCCCTCCACACACACACACACAACACACACCCACACACACATAATGAATTGAGCTCATTTTACATCCTTCAGATCTTTAGATCTGTTTACAACCTTTTACTGCTCCTTTCACATTTTGTTCTGGTTCAACTTCTTTCAGCTTCCTTGTGCAAATTTTTAAAAAATTCAGCTACTTTCAACTAATTTCAGCTGATTTTTCAGCTGTTTTGTGCTCCTTTCAGGATCTTTCTGCTAATTACAACATTTTTATGCTTCTTCTAACTTCTTTCTGCTAATATCAGCTTATTCTGCACCTTTCAGCTTATTTCTCCAACTTTTTCAGCTACTATTTAGCTGTTTATTGCTAATTTTAGCCTTTTCAGCTAATTCCACATTTTTACAATCATTTAAACTTTTTTCAGCCTAATTCAAGAAAAATATGTTCTCTACACTTCCTTTTTGTATTTCAGCTTCTTTCAGCCTTTTTAGCTACTTTTCAGCAGGGTTCTTTTTGTGCTATTTTTTGTGTTTTTCAGATAATTTCCACTTATTTATGCTCATTTCTGCTTCTTTCAGCAAAGGTGATCTTTCTACTTTTCTCTGATAATTTAAGCTTGTTCTACCTTTTAAGCTACTTTTTCAGCATGTTTTAGCTAATTTTTGTTGTTTTCAAATAAATTAAAAGTTTTTCTTGGTCATTTCTGCTACTTTAAACCTAATTAACTTCTTTATGCTTTTCAGCTTGTTATGCTCCTTTCATCTTTTTTCTGTGAGTTTCAGTTATTTCTGCTATTTCAGTTACTTTTTAGCTGTTTTTGTGCTAAATATAGCTTTTTCATCAAATTCCACATTTCTTTCAGCTCATTTCAGCTCCTTCCACATCTTTCTGGTAGTTTAAGCATTGTATGTCTTTTCAGCAATTTTTTTTCTAATTTCAGCTTTTTTAGCTAATTTGCCGTTTGTGCTAATTTCTGCTTAATAAAACAATTCAGCAAATATGCATTATTTTTTCTGCTAACTTCTTCCATTTCAGCTAAATTTCAGCAAGTTTTTAGCTAATTTCAGCTGACTTTCAGCAAGTTCTGCAACAATAAGCGTTCACACTGCATTTTTGCAGGAAATGCAATTTCTCTAGTTTTTACTGACGCTCAGAAAGTCGACTTGTTGGATTTTGGTCTGTCCTTGAACAAAGTCCAGAACAAAATGCAAAAAGAAGTAAATGTTTTTAGCTACAAAAAAGGGAAGTGTTCATCAAATTCTTTGGACACATTTAGTGCTCAAATTTGAGACAAGAGTTAAAACACGCCTCCTGTTTGGAAATATAGTAGTCCCTCGTTTATCACGGGGATCTGTACCCTGAAGACCCATGATAAGTGAAAAACCGCGAAGTAAGAATAATAGTACAAGTAGTAAGTAGTAGTTTATTTTAGTATTTATATAGAGAGATATTAAGGCGTTTTAAACCCTTCCCACACTCTTGCAATATTCTACACGTCTCTAAACGCTCTAAAAGAGCACAGAATGTCATGATCTCAGCTCTCTGTGCCTCCGCTGCTCTCAGCCACCTGCAAGCGCTCTTGGCCACGCCCACTTCTCCATTCTGCACGCAGATCAGCTGACCTCAACTGTTCAGCTGCAGGAGGAAGGTTATCCTGCAGTATGGGCTGCACAAAGGAGTGGCAGGTGCTAAATAGTTTTGTTCCACCTCATGTACCACATGTGATGTGAATGACAATAAAGACACCTTGACCTTGAAATAATTTAAAATAATTTATTTTAAATAAAAATTCCATGCCAATTGTTCGGCTCGTCCATCAATCAGCCAATTGTGTGTCATGTCAAATCTTATTTTGAAAAGCCGCGATAGAGCGAATCCGCGATAAACGAACCGCGAAGTAGCGATGGACTTCTGTATCCATAAATAACTGAATCACTCCAACATTTAGAGAAAGGAATACACACATGGTGGTCGACTCTCTTTGCATTTGTTAAAAATTGAGATGAATCACTAATTTGTTGTGGAAAAATTGAGGACAGTGAACAAACCGACTAATCAAAAAGGTAGCATTTTTCCATAACTTTTAATAAATAAGAAGCAGAATTTATTGCATCAATGGTTCAAAGTGATGACGTTGGCTGGAGGATGTAAGAGCTTGAAATATTTTGCTAAAAAAAAGTTGGCTCAAGAGCCCCTCAAGAAAATTTCCAGGTTCTGATCTGCAGGAAAGCCAATATGAAGAGGAAGTGGGGCAATTCTCCACAGCTTGTTTACCTTCTACACTGTAACTCCTAGCTCTTAACAACTAAGCTTATATTGTAATAAATAAATAAATAAATAAATAAACTAATTGGATCTGAATTGGATTTAACTTATTTTTGTTTCATTTTTTAGTGCCCTGAGATGACTTCTGCAGTAGTTTGGTGCCAAATAAATTCCTCGAGAGCCTTGCGATGCTGGAGCCGAAGTTCTTTTACAATTAATAAACCGTTTTCTAAAGCATAGCTTTGTGAACAGTGGCATTAGGCAGAGAGGATTCCTGACGCAGCTCATAGGTATAGCAGGTGAAATGGTGCTGCTCACCCAGAGAGGTGACAAAGTGTTCGTGAGCACTCAGAGATTTCATGCAGCGCTTGTTCTTGTAGTCCCAGATCCGTAAGGTCTTGTCATCTGCACAGGTCACAATAAACTTGCCTCCTGGGTGGAAGAGGATGCCACGCACCCAGTTGTCATGTCCAACCTGTGAGACAACACAAACTACTCATGAAATTATAAAGCTAACATTTTTCTTCTGCACATTTCGTCCTTAAGAGTTCAAAAACACGCCATTGTGATGAGGCGGTTCTTACCAGTGTCATAAGGCACAAGCCAATGCTAACGTCCCACATCTTGACAGTTTTGTCTCTTGATCCAGACAGCAGGAAGGGACCAGGTTTGCCACTTTTCTTCGTCTAGACAGGTACAAAATGCAGGAAACAGTCAATAAATATCAGTCATACCCATATTCATTAGAAGGGCAGCCAGTGATGCATTTGACATCAAGACAACTCCGTGTGGCAGGGGGAAAATGCCTCATCTCAATCTGTTACAAAGACAAAGCTGTTTCAAGAACAGACAAACCAATAAAGCAGGCGTGTCCACAAAAAGGAAACAAAACGACTTCAGACGACGAGCTTCAGAAAGCTTGAAGAAGCTCGAAGAACTATTAATCACGATCACTTTAAAATGTCACAAGAACATCTGACAGCTTGGAAGTGAATATTAAAGAAATGAAGAGATGCAAAAGTCTTATTTTGTAAAATAAAACAGCATTTTGTCACATTTTTTTACCCAACAGTCATAAAATGTTTGACAGACTGAGCAGAATAAACTTGGTCTGTTGATGAGTTTTCACGTTCAAATCTTGAGGCATCTCAACAAACTACCTCAAGATGATCAGTATGTTGGTGTGAAAAGACCTTTATACAAACACACGCACTCACCGTGTTTTAACTCTTTTGCCAGAAACATCACAATTACCTTCAGTTACTTCCAATTATCAAACTACCAATGACAACAAGCGGACTTGTTTTGATGTGTGTGCTGGCTCTCCTTTCAGTTTCAGAGCTCCCCGTGGCATTCTGCAGTCAGTAAACCAAGTCTTTAAAACTTATTTATGCTTAAGCAGCTGCACATGCAGCATGATCAGTAAAGATTTATGTCTTCAGTGTTTTCCCACGCTTCATGTTTGACACCTACAACCACTATGAAATCGTAAATGGGTGTTTTATTCGTCTTTTTGTCCACTGTGAACATTTTTTGTTAGATATGCTCACAGTGGACCACCTAATACACAACTGTGTTTATATTTACAACAAGAATCAGCTTCTGTGCATGAGAGCACATGTCAGACTGGGACAATTGCTGCAAGCAGAAATAATCTATTTTAATCTGTCAAGGCTCCACACTGGAGATCACAAGGCATGAGGGAGAGCGGGGGTCTGATCTGACTGTAGGCCATGTGGTCCTGTTTATCTAAACGCTGATCATTTCCAGCTGTTGGGTTCATGTGGCTGTCAGTCTGAGCTGTGACGTACGAGCTCCACCGACATGGCTGCGCACGCGGAGAAAGAACGCTCTCTGCAGATCAGAGACTTTAAAACTTCACGGCATTCACTTTTTCTGAAGCCAGTGATGACAACCGCTGGGTTTGCTTTAACTCAAGGAAGACCATCTTTCCAGTGGACGAGTGACACAACAAGGATGAAGAAAGACTACCTGGCAGCTCTGCATGTTTCTGCATCGTTCGTTACAGCTGACACTAAAGTATCACGCCTAATTTGATTTTGTGTATTTTCATGGTGATTAAGTTCAAACACCACCTGATGATCAGACACCAAACAAGACGTCATCAAACACAACGTGAGCCGAGTTCTGCGTTACTGTGCCAAACAGCAGAAAAAACAGTGAGGGTGTGATGATAAAACTAATACTGATGAATTTATAATAGCATGAAACAAACAGTAATAGCTTATTTTACAAAAATAAACACAAATTTATACATTTTTATGTCTAAGAAAGCGTGCACAATTACATGTGCCAAATAAAAACAATCGTTGGCTGCTGACAAACAAATAGCATTTACATTAGCTTAACTCTGAAAATGCTATTGAAAAGCTAACACAATTAGCATTGTGTTTGTCACTGGAAATTTCTATACAAATAAAATGAAAAGGTCATGTTAGGATATGAGAGTTTAGAACAGAAAAACATTAACGAGTTGTAAAAACGGCTTCTACAAGAAACTTCTGCTGACTCAAAGTTGTAGCACCGATCAACAACAGCAAAACCCACCTCCGATAATGCATCTAAAAATACATTATCCTCCCCCACACCCCAATCGAATACACGTCAAAACAAAATACGGGTCTTTACCTCGGAGCCTGTGGCATCTTGGATGGTGGGATAGGCGCTCTCCGGAGCCCAGGAGATGCACTCCACCACGTGTTCATGCTCCCGCAGCTCAGCCTTGCATTCTTTGTTGGCCACGACCCAAACGCGAACCGTCTGGTCGTTGGAGCAGCTAGCTATCAGTGTCCCGTCCTGATTGGGCCGCACCATGCGGACCCACTCCCTGTGACCTGTAAAGGTCTTCACGCAGTAGCTAACGGACAAGAAATTATTGTTATTAGCATATCAGAGTGGTTGTGATGAGTGAAAGCACTTCAGGAAAATCAAAATGAATAAATAAAACAAAAGTCTCTAGTTTTACAAATGGTTTGAGGATGTTTTTCGTACCCAGTTGCAACTTCCCACATTTTCATAGTTTTGTCCCTCGAAGCTGAAATAATGTGATCTCCGTTGGGCATGATAGCGACAGATGAAACATTGTGGTCGTGCCCTGCAAGAAACAGTTTTTTTTTATTTATTATGACGCAAAATCCACCTAAAAAACAGCTGAAAATAGTGGTTCAATTTTTTTCCTGGTCTAAATCTCAGAAAAAGTCCTTTAAATCTACTCTAACCAACAAAATCAGAAGTCTGACATTTTTCTTTTACATGCTGTCACATCCACAAACACACAGACGATTGGCTAAATATGACCACAGCAATTCAATGACAAACCAGGCAGTCAATTTTCCAGAGCCTATTGTGTTTCCATGAGAATAAAGAGACGCCTAATTACCAAAACACTGGGCCAAATTTAAGCTGCTAAACAGATGAAGACAACGGTAATGATGCCCTGAAAGGCCAGATTAGCTGCGTGCATGTGTCTGTGCACTTAAACATGCCACAAGAGAGTGGCGGTAACTACGCAAAGGAGATATCTGCTGCTGAAGAGGTTTAACAAACTGCTGTAGAAATCAGTGATAATCTACTTGAGTTGTGCATGATGATTTCTTAAATATGGAAAAATAAAATGGGGATTAAGGTTGGAGAACAAATCTCAGCAGGAGGCTCAGTGAAGATCACTTTTCTCAGATTTCAGGGCACATTAAATCTTAAATGTTGCCACATCTATCATAAAATAAACTGAATCCAAGTGATGCGTTCAAACATGCTTGTTTTGGTACTGAAGAGTGTTTCTGTCTCTGAACAGGAGCCTGACCGCAAGTGACAACAAACATTGTTTGCTCCACCTGAGCCTTGTGTAGAAGTCAAACAGGATTTAGACAGCAGTGATCTGGAAACGATGACAGCACAGGAACAGCTAAAGACACTGATTGTTTTGTCCTCGTACCATGCATGGTCCTGATGCACTCAAAGCCTTGGAAGTCCCACAGTTTGATAGTCATGTCAGCAGAGCAGGAGGCCAGCAGTTTGCCAGTCTGGTCAAACGAGATGTCCTGCACTGAATCCGTGTGGCCTTTCAGTGTGCGTTCAAAGTCTCCCGTCTCATAGTCCCACACCTGAGCACAACAGGATATTCTGTCATTACTTTTCAAATCGTTTGCAAACGTTAATGACACAAAACTAAGTCTGTAGCACTAAAAAAAACAAACGTGTCTGCTCTTTAAATTAAATTGCATCCGTTTTCCCAGGACCACCTCTGCTTTTCATCATCATATTTTCTCATCCGAGCAGAGTGACATGCAGACATTATAAACAGGAAACATTTAAAACTTGAACAAATTAAAAATAAATCCTAGTTTAATCCAACGCTTGCACTGCAGACATTATGTAACCCCCGCATTCTGAATCAAACAATCTGCAGCAAAGTATAGTTTCTCAAGCAGTTTTATTAAAAGTATTCCTACATAATAAAAAAAAACAGTTTATTGTGTCAAGTTTGGCACTGCCTGTTGGGGTGTGGACAGAACATGGTGTGAACAGCAGCCCCCCCTCTTTAGTCTGAGAAAGCTGTTGCGTCTGTGGCTTTTGAGCAGACGGTTTGTCGCAGAAGGATAAACCCTCCTTGCTTCATCTCTCAGGGTGAGGGGATTTTGGCCAGACGGTGACAGGAGACCTGCACCCTCTCCTCCCCCATCCTTGCAGTTCTTTTTCCCTTTGCTCCAAAAGGAAGCTACGGATGGCCATGAAGTCTAAAATACAAACTTGTTACCCCATTTTTCATTAATAATGTTTGTGCGTATTTGATGGGAAAAATGCCCATCGTTTTTATGAATAAAAAAGTTCCAACAACAGTTCCACGCTTAGTATTTTACATTTTTGAAGTAAAGTTCATGTGTAAAAAAAAACCAACATGTATGGCGGCAGCTCCTCACATTTAGGAGCTGATCATTTGCATTCTGTCCACAGCAGTAAAGAGTTAACACATGCAAATCAATGGAGATTCATTTCCATTTAGTTAAAACAGAAATGTGCACAGTGTTGTTGATGCATCCAACTGTACCTTCCTCAGTGTGCACTTTCAGTCCTATCAGATGTTTCAGTTTAAAGAAGGTATTAATAATAACTGCATGTTTGTACAAGAGTTGTCTGTTTTCAGAAGAGATGGAGTGACACAAACCAGGCCTGGTTCGGTTTAGCTACTAATAAGACCAAACGTTTGATAATTTTATAAGGACATGATAAACATCAGAACGATTCTGACCACCATAATTTTAAAATCAAGTCCAGTGTCAGGCTGCATCGGTCCACATAATCTAATAAGTTTTAAAAGCAGGGTACACAGGGCACAGTTACATTTACTTTGGAAACTGGACCCTTAAAAAAAACTGCTTGGTACAACAAGTCAGTATTGAAAACTTCAGAATATTTACAAGAAAGTAAAACATTGCATTATGCTTTGAACAGACACAAAACATCTAATATATTTTGTTCTGCATAATGAAAACCATTTTCCTGTGCCAGATCAACATTATTTACCGTTACATATCAAAATTATAATAATGGTGTGCAGGGAGCAGTAAAAAAGAGCTGCTGGCTCTTGAACTTTACGATGCAAAGCTCGGATGAGGCTGACAAAAGTGTACAAGTTATGAACTGAAATTAAAAAAAAAAGCAAAATAAGTTTTCTGGATTAAAACTAAAACTTGCCAAAATCACCTAAACCTCTTTTAAAAACGCAAGTCAATTACTGGATTGAGTTTTTTTTATTGTGCACATTAAACCTAAAAATAATTTGTTAGATATTATTAGATGTGCCAATTGTATTACCTTTGGAAAAATCTGTTAGCTATTTTTCCTTTTCAGAGTCTACATAAAGCTGAAGCACCTACTGGCTGTTAAACAGGAGCACATTATTATCAGACACTTCAGTCCTGGTCATCAAACGAGACACCTGAAATACAAAGAACGGTTCTCCGTGAAAGCTAACAAGCTTTTCAGCCTGTGTTCCTGTGTAAATAGCTCAAGGTCTAGTTTTTGTTCGAGCTTTAAAGAGAACGATAGGATGCGGGGTGGGGGCGGTCAGACTGAGCCACAGAGAGAAGAGGTAACCAAGAAAAAAATAAAATAAAATGCTGAACTGAAAAGGACGGCAGAATTTTAAAATCTGCTTCAAGGCCCAACTGCTCCAGAGGGATGGACGGATGATGGAGGGGTGTCATGGTGGAGCTGTTAATGCTTTAAGTGGAAGATAAATGAATAAATGAGGCAGGATGTTGCTGGGGGTGGTGGAGGGTTTGAGAGGGGCTGAGAAGGGGACAGTGCCAAAAGTGAGGAGAGGGATCCCTGCTGTGTGAGTGTAGCCAAGTAGGAAATGTACAAGTGTCTGTTATTGTCTCATGAATAAAAGATGTATAACAAACAGCTCAGCAGAGTATTGGCATTGTGCAGCGAGGCAGTGGAAAGATGCTGCGGCAATGATCCGGTCCAGGGGAAAACAATGGAGTTTATTTATGAAATATAGATGATACGGAGAGATGTGTTTGAGTAATCCAGGATAAATCGATACAATAGATGGAGGCCAGGAGGACACGATCGTACAGATCAGAAATATTTAACAGAATGACCAAAAAGCTTTGAGTGGCAGAGCTGCCCCTACGCTAGCACTAAAGTAAAAAGACCACATTTTCCTTGTCGTTTTGCATTTTGTACCCAGGGTCTCAGGAGGTTAAGCTCATTTGGGGGTAGAATATAAAAATAAATACTACAGGGCTAACATTAAAACCTTGACTAAGAGTTTTGATTTCCTTGTAAATACCCATGTACATCAACGAGGAAGCTCCAAAATAAAACTAATGTTTACAAGCTATATGAAGCCATACTGTACACACAAAAAATGTGAAAATGTCAGTTTTATTAACATCATAAAGAACGTCACCGGGAGGAGACCCAGAGGAAGACCCAGGACACGCTGGAGGGACAATGTTTCTCGGCTGGCCTGGGAACGCCTTGGGGTTCCCCTGGAGGAGCTGGTCCAAGTGGCTGGGGAGAGGGAAGTCTGGGCCTCCCTACTGCTACCCCCGCGACCCGACCCCAGATAAGCAGAAGAAAATAGATGGATGAATCATAAAGAAAAATATTAGCATATTTAAGTATTATCCATACAGAGTCACCACTGTTGTGCAAGCAGGGGAAGACAAAGACATCTGAAAAGCACATTTGGTGCAAATAAGTGAAAGTTGTAGTTGAATGGCTCACCGATTCATCCACAGGACACTCACTCCAGTTTAATATTAACGCCTCTATCTGGTACCTGGTTTAAAATCTGACATGACAGCTCATCTGGAAACAATATCCCTGTTATGAGTTATTTTCAGCTTTTAGATGATAGAAGTTATAAACGATGGTGACCGTTTAAAACTTAAGAAACAGAAAAACACTGACTAATGTCCATTCATCTATTTTCTTCTATATCTTCCGAGAAAACTAAAATGACTTTAAAGGATTTGTCATGTAGATTAGCTTTACTGGATGATGTGAAAAGAAGAAAAGCTGTGATTTTACTTGGATCATGTGATGTGTGCATTGTCATTGTTGCACGGTGCAAAATCAAACCTGCGACTCCAGTCCCAAGTTGGCTGCACTGCCACTGTCCCACAGCCGTCCCTCCATGATAGATGTCAAAAATATGAGATTTTTCAATCTTTTAAAAGTTATCTGGTTCTAACAATTATTAATTTTCTAAATCATTAAATGATTGTTTGGGGGTTACCACTCAAACCCCGCACCGCTCCATCTCCTCCCACAAAGTTACTCTACTTCTGTCAGCTCTCATCCTTACAGCTTTTAGTCACCGTATCTTTTCAGAGAACTTCCACCTTTGTCTTTCAACCCAGCGTCTTTGATTTCATTCTTTTCCTTTTGAGCCTCTTCACATCAGGAGATTATTTTACTGATTCAATGTGTTTTGCATCAAGAATGTCCCAAGTGCACTCGTTGATGTTGAAATGTAAAAACAACAACTCATAACTGTAGTGACAAAACACGACTGCTTATTTCACTCATTAATTACTAATTAATGAGTAGTGAATGATGCATTATTAGTAGGTATTTTTTTAATCAGAAGATTCACATTAAAACAAACAAAAAAATCAAATAAAAGCAAAATTCAAACAAATGTTTTGACAGAAACTATGGCTTTAACAGTGAAATTACTTTCTGCAGCTTCATTTAGAAAGCTGAATTTTTGAATGAGATGTTTTAAATCCCCTAAAAAGCAGCTGACATGCCACAATCAGGTAAAACATAAGGTTCAAAAGATGAATCTGCAGACGGAGGTTTGCTTAGAAACAAAACGTGTGTCCAAGCATCACCTCTGCCCTCCAGCAGGACTGACCTTTATTGTTGCATCCTCAGAGGCCGACACCATGACGCTGAAGACCGGGTGGAAGATAACGCGGGTGATCGGACTGCGGTGGCCACTCAGAGCGTACCTTTCTGGCGGGCGAGGGATCCACTCTTTGGGGTCACGCTTTTGACTTACGGGGCCACCCAGGGTGATTTCGTCTTTAGCTTCATTCAGTTTAGATTCAAGTTCCATCACCTGTCCAGATTGACATGCTACAAGTTAGGCATCTGTTGTCGAACACAAATACATCGAGATAATTCAAGCATATCGCCCACGGGGTGTTAGGATAAGTTACTACCACATAATAATAATAATAATAATGTGTATGTATTGCCATCATTGTACATCAAATTTAAGCTCAATATCTGTTAAACTGACTGAGCTGTATGAACACTAGTGCTCTTCCTCCTGCAGGAAATAATTACACAAGGACAGAGAAGCTAAATGTTCATGAAACAAACTTTTATGATTGTTATAACTGCACATTTTAACAGCTGGGTCTGACTTTTCAGCGTTTATGTCACAAGACTGTAACCCCCACGAGCATTTTGGTTAAGAAAAACACTCCACAGACCTTCTTTTGTAATCTGATAACCGAGGTCCATTTTTTTTCCAAAAGACCAGCATACTTCTTATCCAGTTCTTCATTCTGTGGAGAAACAACAGGCTATCAGACAAAGAAAGCCAATCAAAGTCACAGGCTCAGAGTAATCAGTGGGGGTTGAGGAATGGGGAGGGCAGCATGCTGAGGTCTGCAGCTATAGTAAGAAAGAACATGGACTTATTTACACACCACACACATGCAAAGGCTGGCTGCCAACCTAATGTACAACACACACACACACACACACACACAGGACACATGCATACTTTACACACAAACACACACACACTAGTCCTAATCCTTCTCACACGAGCTAATCTCTTGCAGAAAGCCTTAGGCAGCTTACTGCCACACAGACGGTACAGACCAGGCAGCAGAAGTGGAAGTTAACTTGTGGCCTTCCTGGCAGACACCAGTCTGATTCCTCCTGCAGGTTAATGCCACCATGTTTTACATAATAGAGGTGGCGCAGACACTAGCTTTCTTACTGCCAAGATTTTTTATTTATAGTTTAAGGATACGCCCATCAAGTTTTTAAATCCTAAAATGTATTTACTCAATTGTCTCATTAACTCATGGTTCAGATTACTGTTGTTGCAGGCAAAGAAAATGCAAAGTTGATGATGCTAATATTTTTTTGCCAATTGGTTTCAACTACAATCACATTTATTATGTTCAATGTGAGGTAACAAACAAATTAAAGGTGTATCTGACTGGGCTGCGACTGTTGGAGACTCAAAATTGTGTGAAAACAGACCAGCGACCAAGCGGCTAGTGAGCTGTGCAAGGCATGTTTTGTGAGACCATTTTCTAAAAATCAGTGTATTTTTGTGAGCACACAGCTCACACAATGTTCTGTAGGCCGTGCCTGTTATTTCCTAACCCATTTCAACCCACATCATACTCATTTTGGTCCACTTAGCACACACCATGGCAGCTGCCTCCACATTTATGAGTTAATCCTACTGGAGTGCACCTTTCAGATGTAAAATAAACAGCTTTCAACCAGTTCTTTAAATAATTATTATACATCATACGCATGGTTAGACCTGGACATTCAGGGCTGTAACCTCTGATGTTTTTGTCAGGAGGAGAGTTCCCATCTGAACTTTCCAGAAACCAAATTGAAACAAGTTTGAGATGCACTCTACAGCTCTGGGATTATTTTGAACATGTTCAAAACTCGAGCAACAAGATTGTGAGGCCCTTCGACTCAAGTGAGAACACTGAGAAACCCTGCATGGCATGAATAAACCAGAAGGACAGTTGTAGACTCTCTCTTGCAAATACAATTCAATTGCCAGCCTTCACAGCCCAGTGAAATACTACCTTAAATACAATTAAACATATTTCAAAAAGGTCTTCAAAACGCCACACCGAAAATATGTACTATATTCTTTTTGAAGCAGTTTAAACTTACAGTAGCTTTTGTACATGTTTGTTTTAAATAACTTGTTTGTATGAGTAAAACAGTTTGGTGCCATCCATGCCTTCAGGGCATTACTGACTATCAAAGCATTAAAAGCCCCACATTGACAGATACGTTTTCAGTGAGGGAGAAAACGAGTGTAGTGTTCCCATTTCACAGCTACACCCTCAGCCACTGCTGGAAACAAAGCAGACATCCTCGAGGTGTGGGGAGAGTCGAGCAACACCAGCGGCATTTATCACACTTCTTAATGGCAATATGCGATTCCTTAAGACTATTGTGAAGTGTTAAAAAATATATAATATATATATTGAATGAGAACAGGAAACCCAGTTTGGACAAGTCTGCTGTCATCTAATCTGCCATCTGCCTGATCGCCAGCGCACACAAAGACACAAAGATGCACATAAAACCACAAATGCCAGACTTTGTGCAGTCTGCCAGCCTATTGGCAATGATAAAATGAACATATGTGTGCTTGTCTGTGCATGCAGGTATGTTCATTAACTTTCCTGAACGGATAAATAAATAAAGCAGGACTATTAAATTTTTCTTCTAGTCTAGAGAGGCACTTGAAACTGCTGCTTAAAGAGCCATAAAGAGCAAAGGTGAAGAGCTTTTAATTCACACAGAGAATCCAACCGCACGCTGTAACATTCAGGCTTCAAAAAAATGAGCTAAAAATCCTCCTGCTTGTTTGGCATGAGTCTAACAAAGTGTGTGTGTGGCAGAGCATTAAAGCTGGGTGCACTGATCCCCCTGTGCCATTCATCTATTATTCAGCCTGCTTCCAAAGGGCTGCCACACGGAGAACGACTGGAAGAGGAACGGATGAAGACACAGCAGTAGGGTGTCACATGAACACAAGATAAAAAGCAAAGGTGATCTAGAAGGCAGAGAAAAGAGTGAAGGAGTTGAGCTTATGATGAAAAGAAGTTGAAAGACTCCAGTAAAACATTGGAGTCTTGGAGAAAATTAATCTAATTTAGCAATAAAGCACAGTCCTTTTAGGAAAAATATGAGCAATATGGACTACATTTTATCATTTAGGATTAAAAACAGACAAGAGAAAGTAATATTAAACAGAGCAAACCTTAAAATGTATACACACAAATGCATTATGAATTAAGTAGAAAGTACAGTAAAAGTATGGTATCACAGCTGCAATAAACTTGTTTTTTTAATCAGATATGTCAAAAATACATTAATTTCAGGTGAATTAAAAAAAAAAATCTCAATTAGTAAAACCACGCAGCATGCCCTCCTAACCAGACAGCACCATAATTGAGTGCAGGTGCTCCTGGTCACACTTGAGAACATGCTGACTAAAAGGAGAGATAAACTGGGAATCAAGACATACTGTTCTGTAAATTAGTGTGATTGGCTGAGCGGATGTGTGTATATGTTCTTTATCTACTCACATTATCTAATTCAGCTTCCTTCTTGAAAGTGGAATACGCTTCTTCATATCCATTTGAACGTAGATAATCCGCTATTGCTCGATTTCTGAAAGAAACAAAAGAGGAGCCGTAATTACTTCTTCTGATTAGCAGACAAGATGGGGGTTAAACTTCCACGAGACGCCACACACATACATGGAGACATGTTCAAAGCTCTGAAACAAAAAGCAGAAAATGAGCACGTTTTGGAAAGGTGTAAGACAAAGATGTAAATTTAATGTGCTTCTTACAGCGTTATCACAACATATAAAACAAATGCTTGCACGAATAAATTCAGGTTTTCAATTTTTTGTTTCAGTCCAGTTTCAAATTCAGTCCAAAAGACAGCCTCCTGCTTTTAATATAAAAACAGACTTTTCCTCTCATGCAACACAAACTGAAAGCACATCTGTCCAGCTTCTAATGAGTTCCTATTGTTGTGGGCAATTAATGGGATTGGACAACTCCCCATGGTGTGGACAATGGGGAAAAATGAGAACCAGTGTACATCTAACTACACCAGCTTACACTGTGAAAGAAAAACAGAATAATTTCAGAACACAGAAAGGATCTGACCACTGATCCTGCAGCACATCTCATTTTCAGGCTAGGGTTTACAAACACACAGACCCCCCCCCCCCCCCCCCCCGACTCTTTAGAAAGCCAACATATAGGTGGTGGAAACAGCAGACGTGTGTAACAATCCCATTACTTCAAATATGTGAAGATAGATGGACAGATAGCACGCAGACAATAGACTAGCCAGGCAGAGCTGGAAGCCAAGAAAAAGGAAGTTGTCTTCGTGCTTCAATTCTTATCCTCCATAGCCTCCATTGATGTGAGTGCACGCACACGCACACACACACACACACACACACACACACACACACACACACACAGAAGACTGGTTTATGACTGCAGATTCAGCAGCAGTTCAGAAGAGTTATTAACGAGGTTCAAGTCACTTAAGCTCAACAGTTCAGGCTCTTATTCTCCATCTAATTAGCTTCTCACAAGAGTGCAGAAAAGTGAATTATTTATTGTGATTCCTCCCCCCACCCAACCAAGATGTCTGACTTCTTGCAGGTAAAATAAGGTGCAAGACTTTAACTGCATTTTAAGAACTCAAAATAGTCTTAAAGGTTGGTTTTTTTTTATCTAAACCACACAATCCCACAATACATTTTCTTTTCTTTTTTTTTTGACAAAATGTAATCATTTAAACAGAAAGTCTAACACATTTTGTCACAATGTTTCTGTTTTTGAGGGTCAATTCTGATGACTTGATGCATGATCAACAATCCAGGTAGGATGACAAAACCTGAAATTTAAAACGTTTAAAAGACATGACGCAAAGTAGAGATTCTACAAAGCTGTGTTGAGTTTCACTGAATTATGAACCTGAATCAAATCTTGATTTCTACTTATTAACCTCTAATTTTCTCTGCGACACTGCAGCCTATATTTGCAATCTTTACACATTAATCATGCAGGAAAACAGACGAACAACAACTTAAGTAATACTTTTATTATTCCCTACTCTGTATTGTTTTAATAGAAAATGTGTGCAATTTGTGATAATTTCTATATTTTTCCCTCTACGATTCATCTCATATCTCCTTAGCCCTCCTTTGTTCTTGCACACCATTAATGCCAGAAGATGCCAGACGATCTGTCAGGCAGGCAATGCTTTGAGGTGCCAATATGAAAATGGTGGGGGGAGAACAAGCTGTCAGCTCAGTCTGTGCCCTCGTGCCATCTCGGTCAGTGTTGAGCTGCGAACCCCCCTTCTTCTTCAGAGCACCTGAATCCTCGTGACAACATAAGCTGACCTTATTACAGCTCAAGGTTAGCAGGAGGTTATCTACTCGTCTGACAGCGCGCTGCAAGTCTAGCAAAACTGCAGCGAGGGGGCCAAGGAGCACCAGCATGCCTGAGACAAGAACTAAACAGAAAGGAGGCACAGAGGAAGATGTGGAGTAGTGTTTAAAACTAAACACTTCCACCTCTACAAACAAAAATCAGGGTACAGAATATTAAAAAAGATCAGCTTCATGCAGCTAAATCACTTTTAAAGCAAACATTAATACCAGTTTCACTGTGTGTTGATCGGGGTACAGACATACTGGTAAACCATGCAGCGTTATTCACACAACTGTCGTTTGCAGAAGCCACACAACAAAACAGGTGAACAGAATCCAAGCTACAATTAATTTACACCCACCCACACAGCTAAAAAAGCAGTGCACAATAAAAGAATTGCAGTGCAGACACAGACACACAGAACCAACCACTCCCTGAGCCCATTGTTGAGTCTGAATGAGCCAGACAGATAAAAACATACATCAACGTGCAGTTTTCAACAGGCAGACTCCTCAGTGACAGTGGGGAAAACAAAAAACAGAAAAAGAAAGGAGGGAGAGGTGTACTGATGGCAACGTGAGGAGAGCAAAGCAACGGGTTTCCATGGTTACGAGGAGCCCACAGCTAGATGACTTGATGGAGAGATAAAGAAAGAGCGCAGGGAATGATGTGGACGAGGAGGGTCAATACGAGGGAAAAAAAAAAAAAATCATAGATACAAAAACAACTGCACATTTTCACCACCACTTCAGTAAAATCAGAGCTTTCCTTCATCCATGATAATCTGCAACTTGCAACATCTGTTTAAAGTGAAAGTAATCTCATCTCTACAGGTAAATCCTGGGGCTGACACCATAATGCAGCCGAATATTAAAAAGAATATTAGACACAGACACAAGTATGAGGCAGACAGCATGACCTCATCATTCTCAGGAAGGAGGCGAGTCAGATATACAGCATCACTGGTTCCTCTCAGTTTCTGCTTTATAAAGTAAAGTGCTATGTGTTGTCATCATTGTATGTTCCCATACAAAGATGAAATTGGTTCTCTGCATTTAATCCATCGCACCTGGGATACACCCAGTTGGAGCAGTGGACAGCTATGCAAGCTGCCCGGGGAGCAATTCGGGATTAGGTGTCCTGCTCAGAGACACCACAAGATATGCAATGACCAGGGATTGAACCCAGGACCTTCAGATCCCGAGTCGGCTGCCCTGCCCCTACACCATCTCAGCCCATCCTACATCTCAGAAGCAACTGACACAATGTCCTCCGACTGACAAGACCTCACAACGTGGTGCAAAACATTTTAAGATACAAGTCTAGCACTCCTTGACTGCCACCTGTATACCGGTGTTTTAAACTAACATGTTATGATGAGAAATGACAGTTACAGCTGTTTTGAAAATAACGTCATGCGACATAATATCTGTAGTTTCATTCAAATTTGCACGCAAGTTCATTATATATTTTGTTAACAGACAAACGGCGCCAACAGTTGATGCCCAAGTTTTGCTCAAAGATCTTGCGCGATGAGTAGCACTTTGTGACAACCACAGGAACAACCACAACAAAACTTTAGCTCAACATCTGTAAAATTTACAGAATTAATGCCATTTTCTGGTTTGTAAAGTTTAGTTGATTGAGTGGCCATCTTGAATTAGGTTGGTTCCAAAGGTTAATTGGCTGTAGAGGTGCATCCAGTGGTTTCTTCCTAAAAGTTTTGTTAAAATCCATGCAGTAGTTCACGATACTGTATCTTTCTAACAAAGTAGACTCCAAAAATGAATGATAAAGTTTTAAAGAACATCCATGCATGATCTGTTAGCTCTCAGAATATGTATTAAGCATGACTCTCAGCTACTACCACAGCATAATTTAGCTCAACAGCTCTAAAATGGACTGAATTAGTCATTTCTGTGTTTGTAATGTTGGATTAGCTGAGGTGACCATTAAAATGTTAATCAGTTGTAGTGTTACCTACCCCAACAATGGCTTTCTGAGAATTTCATTGAAATTTGTCAACTGGTTCATAATATTTTGCTAACAAACGCATTCACTCACTCTCTCTCTCACACACACACACACACACACACACACACACACACACACACACACAC